TTTCTTGCCATTTCAACCAGAAAGGACACTGTCTCAATGACCTAATCACATGCATCTTACTTCAGAAGACTTTCAAATCTGCACTTGAAAAGGATTCCTCTGAACTGGCATTGATGCTAAAATTCGACACTCTCCGGGGGGTGGGGGAAGGGGCTGAACAAAGACCCCAACTACCTTACCCATTACAAAGATAGCTTCCCCAATTATTACCTCTAATATCATTAACTCACAGACATCTACCCTTCCCCACCTCTAATATCATTAACTCACAGGCATTTACCTTCCTTCCCCCCCTCCCCCGCATCCTCCTTCTGTTCTGAAATGTGATTTGTCCTTTTCATATGTGTTCCTTTTTTTTTAATTGTATCCTTTGGTATATGGTTGTGACTATTTTCTTCCACTATTTGATCTGAGGAAGTGGGTCTGGCCCACTTTCAGTCTCCTTCTCTTCAGTCTCCTTCTCTTCTGGCACCCCTGTGCTACTTCAGATTCTTGCTTGCTCCCAATTCTCTAGGCCTCTAGCCACTCTCCTTTGCTTCTCAGGCATCCTAGCTTATTTCTTTGGACATCATATCCCTCATGTAGACTATTTTGCTCAGGAAGGAAAGTTTTACCTCTGATTGAATATGGGTAATGAGTAATGACTCTCACTTTTTTCCCTTCCCAGTTTTCCCTACTAGTCAAAACTGCAAAGTGCATCAGTTCTTGATACTAAATTATTACATCCGCATAAACCCCCAAAATGTCAACATAACTGTTTCTTCTCAATTTCAAAGAAAGGTGCCCTTTCACCATAGAATCATAGAGATGGAAGAGACCTCAGGAGGTCATCAAGTCCAGCCCCCTTCCCAAAGCAGGACCAATCCCAACTAAATCAACCCAGCCAAGGCTTTGTCAAGCCAAGACTTAAACACCTCTAGGGATGGAAATTCCACCACCTCCCTAAGTAACCCATTTCATAAGAACATAAGAACATAAGAACGGCCGTACTGGGTCAGACCAAAGGTCTACCTAGCCCAGTATCCTGTCTACGGACAGTGGCCAGCACCAGGTGCCCCAGAGAGGGTGGACCGAATACAATAATCAAGCGGTTTGTCTCCTGCCATCCCTCTCCAGCCTCTGACAAACAGAGGCCAAGGACACCATTTTATCCCCTGGCTAATAGCCTTTTATGGACCTAACCTCCATGAATTTATCCAGCTTCTCTTTAAACTCTATTATAGTTCTAGCCTTCATAACCTCCTCTGGCAAGGAGTTCCACAGGTTGACTACACGCTGTGTGAAGAAGAACTTTCTTTTATTAGTTTTAAACCTGCTACCCATTAATTTCATTTGGTGTCCTCTAGTCCTTATATTACGGGAACTAATAAATAACTTTTCTTTATCGGCCCTCTCCACACCACTCATGATTTTATAGACCTCTATCATATCCCCCCTCAGTCTCCTCTTTTCTAAACTGAAAAGTCCCAGTCGCTTTAACCTCTCCTCATATGGGACCCGTTCCAAACCCCTAATCATTTTAGTTGCCCTTTTCTGAACCCTTTCCAAGGCCAAAATATCTTTTTTGAGGTGAGGAGACCACATCTGTACACAGTATTCAAGATGTGGGTGTACCATAGTTGTATACAGGGGCAGTAAGATATTCTGGGTCTTATTTTCTATCCTTTTCCTAATAATTCCTAGCATCCTATTTGCCTTTTTGACTGCCACTGCACTCTGTGTGGAAGTTTTCAGAGAACTGTCCACGATAACTCCAAGATCTCTTTCCTGATTTGTTGTAGCCAAATTAGCCCCCATCATACTGTACGTATAGTTAGGGTTATTTTTCCCGATGTGCATTACTTTACACTTATCCACATTAAATTTCATTTGCCATTTTGTTGCCCAATCACTCAGTTTGGTGATATCTTCTTGGAGTCCCTCACAGTCTGCTTCTGTCTTGACTATCCTAAACAGTTTTGTATCCTCTGCAAACTTTACTACCTCACTGCTTACCCCTTTCTCCAGATCATTTATGAATAAGTTGAAAAGGATTGGTCCCAGGACTGACGCTTGGGGTACACCACTAGTTACCCCTCTCCAATCTGAAAATTTACCATTTATTCCTACCCTTTGTTTCCTGTCTTTTAACCAGTTCTCAATCCAAGAAAGGACCTCCAGTGATCCACCACCCTCCTAGTGAAATAGTTTTTGCTAATATCCAACCTAGACCTCCCCCACTGTAACTTGAGACCATTGCTCCTTATTCAGCCATCCGTCAATACTGTGAACAGCCTTTCTCCGTCCTCTTTGGAACCTCTCTTCAGGAAGTTGAATGCTGCTATCAAATTTCCCCTTCACTCTTCTCTGCTGGAGACTAAACAACCCAAATCCCTCAGTCTCTCCTCACAGGTCATGAGCTCCAGCCCCCTAATCATTTTGGTCACCCTCCGCTGGACCCTCTCCAATGCGTCCACATCCTTTTTGTAGTGGGGGGCCCAGAACTGGACACAGTACTCCAGATGTGGCCTCACCAAAAGCCAAATAAAGGGGAATTATCACTTCTCTGGGTCTGCTGGCAATGCTCTGCCTAATACACCCTAATTTGACATTAGCCCTCTTGGCTACAAGGGCACACAGTTGACTCATATCCAGATTCTCATCCACTGTAGTCCCCAGGATCTTTTCTGCAGAACTGCTACTCAGCCATTCGGTTCCCAGCCTATAACAAAGCTTGGGATTCTTCCGTACCAAGTGCAGGACTCTATACTTGTCTTTGTTGAACCTCATCAGATTTCTTTTGGCCCAATCTTCTAATCTGTCCAGGTCACACTGGACCCTATCCCTGCCCACCAGTGTATCTACCTCTTCCCCTAGCTTAGTGTCATCTGCAAAGTTGCTGAGCATGCAATCTATCCCCTGATCCAGGTCTTTAATAAAGATGTTAAACAAAACCGATCCTACAACAGATCCTTGGGGCACTCCGCTAGAAACCAACCGCCAACCTGACAGAACCATTGATCATTACCCGTTGGGCCCAAAAGTCTAGCCAGCTTTCTATCCATCTTACAGTCCATTTATCCAATCCACATTCCCTTAACTTGCTGGCAAGAATATTGTGGGATACTGTATCAAAAGCTTTGCTCAAGTCAAGGTATATCACACCTACTAACTTCCCCATGTCCACAGAGCCAATTACCCCATCAGAGAAGCTAATCAGATTGGTCAGGCATGACGTGCCCTTCGTGAATCCACGTTGACTATTCCTGATCACTTTCCCCTCTTCCAAGTGCTTCAAAGTGGTTTCTTTGAGGATCCTCTGAATGATTTTTCCGGGGACTGAGGTAAGGCTGACTGGTCTATAGTTCCCTGGATTGTCCTTCTTCCCTTTTTTTAAAAGATGGGCACTACATTTGCCTTTTTCCAATCATCCGGGATCTCTCCCAATTGCCAAGAGTTTTCAAAGATAATGGCCAAAGGCTCCGCAATGACATTTATCAACTCCCTCAGTACCCTCGGATGCATTAAATCTGGACCCTTGGATTTGTGTATGTCTGGCTTTTCTAAATAGTTCCTAACTTGTTCCTTCCCCAAGGGCTGTCCACCTCCTTCCCATACTCCGTTGCCCGTGCATTTGTCTGGGAGCTGACCTTGTCTGTGAAGACAGAGGCAAAGAAAGCATTGAGTACTTAAACTTTTCCCACATCATCTGTCACTAGGGCCGTGTCCAGACTCAGGGGTTTTTTCGGGAAAAGTAGCCTTTTCCCGAAAAAACTTCCCCTGCGTCCAGACTCAAGCCGAAATTATTTCGAAAGAACGCAGCTTTTCTTTCGATGGCGGTAAACCTCAATTTACGAGGAAGAACGCCTTCTTTCGAAAGTTCCTCTTTCGAAAGAAGGTGTTCTTCAATGTAAAGAGGCCGTCTTCGAAAGAGAGCATCCAGACTCGCTGGGTGCTCTCTTTCGAAAAAGCGGATTTCTCTTTCGAAAGATCCGCCTGCAGTCTAGACGCGATCTTTTGAAAGAGGCTCTTTCGAAAGATGCTTTCGAAAGAGCCTCTTTCGAAAGAAGCCTGCAGTCTAGACATAGCCTAGGTTACCTCCGCCTTCCAGTAAGAGCTCTATACCCTCTCTGATCACCCTCTTATTGCTAACATGCCTGTAGAAACCTTTGTTATCCTTCACATCCCTTGCTAGCTGCAATTCCAATTGCACTTTTGCCTTCCTGATAAGTCCTCTGCATTCTCGAGCAATATATTTATACTCCTCCCTAGTCATCTGTCCATGTTTCCACTTCTTGTAAGCTTCCTTTTTGTGTTTAAGCTCACCAAGGATGTCCCTGGTAAGCCAATCTGGTCGCCTACCATATTTGCATTTGTTGCTGTACATGGGGATGGTTTCCTCCTGTGCCTTCCCTTCTCCTTCATGTAAGCATCCCAGGGAATCCTGCCCATCAGTTCTCTGAGAGAGTCAAAGTCTGCTTTTCTGAAGTCCAGGGTGTGTATTTTGCTATTCTCCTTTCTTCATTTGGTCAGGATCCTGAAATCTACCATCTCATGATCACTGCTTACCATGTTGTCACCCACCTCTATGTCCCCTACTAGTTCCTTCCTGTTTGTGAGCAGCAGGCCAATCTTCGCATGGCCTCTGGTCGGTTCCTTCAGAACTTGTACCAAGAAGTTATCTACACCAGAGTCAATCTGCATCCAATTTCCACTGAAAATTAGTTTTGTCAACAGTTGAAAAATCTAACTGCAAGCGTGTGAACTCCTTGTTATAAAATCTCTATGGTGGGTAACTAGATATAAAAGGAGGAGGTAACACCACTACAATTTCTTTATTCAACATTCCATCAAATGTTTAAGAAAGACTCACACTTGATTAGCAAAAAATATAATCCTGAAAATGAGCAAGTATTAAAATGATTGCAAATCAGTTTTTAGTCCCCAAGATTGGAAAAGCCAATTTCATTCCAAATACCGTATTTTTTCCAATAGCACTACATAAATTCAATTCTACTGACCTGTTTGATGAAGGTGATCTCTAGCCAGCTCAAATAAACGCATATGCATGTTTGTGATGGGGTTAAAGGAGCCACAGGCAAGGAGAACAAGAGGTATCCGGCTCTTCATTGTGACATATACTGCATACTAGGATCTTCATCGGCATTTCAACCTAAAGGAAAAGTAACTATTAAAATAACCTTTGCCTCAGAGAAATGTTTCACAGCTGTTTCTCTTAATAATAAATAATGATTCATCATTTTCAGAACTGTTACATCATTGGGACATTAGTAAAATATCAAAATTAGCAAAGAGCACCATTGCAATATATGCTAAGTGAGTATTTAAACAAATCCAATACCTGTATTGAAATGAAATCCATGGACACATATCTAAAAAATGGTCTGGAACCACAGTAAAAAGAGTAATTCTACTAGAAATTACATGGTCTTCTGAACAAGGTCACTACTCTTTTGAATTATCATTAACTCCTTAATGGTCTTAATATTTTTCACAAAACACCACTTATCTAAGGAAATCCTGAGTCTATATTCATATTTCCAGAAGTATCTTAAGTAAAAAAGGTTGACTATTCTACGGTCGGTTCTGAAGAAGTGGGCTGTGCCCATGAAAGCTCGTGATACCATCTACATGTTTTGCTAGTCCATAAAGTGCTATCAGACTGTGTTGTTTTTTAGTTTATACTACACTAATCAAAATAGCGGGACAACCTGTCAACCTGTGGAACACTTTGCCAGAGGATGTTCTGAAGACCAAGACTAGAACAGGGTTCAAAAAAGAACCAGATAAATTAATGGATCATAGATCCATGGAGACTTAGGAAGACATCACTGCATTAATTATATATTTATATTCACAGCTTTTTTGGCCTTTACAAAGGTTGTAAGTGGAATTTATTTTTAATGAAAGCTTACTTATATTCCACAGAAATGGATGATTCCTTCCGTCTGGAAATGATTTCTTCATGCCCTGGAAAGCTCAATCTCTGATTTCACATATTTATACTTCAGACCCTAAAGTACATTTTTATTAGTAATAACTAGACAGCAGTACTAGAATAAAACTTATTTATTTTCATTTTGCCTTAAAAGCTCCTCACAAAAGAACTTTCATGTAAAGTTCTAAGCTCCATTGACATACATTTAAATGTACACAAATGTTACAAAGCACCTCACCCTACCACCCAACATGTAGACTCATAGAATACTAAAACTGGAAAGGACCTCGAGAGGTCATCGAGTCCAGCCCCCTGCCTCATGGCAGGACCCAAGTACCATCTCGACTATCTAACCTGCTCTTAAATACCTCCAGAGACGGAGATTCCGCAATGTCCCTAGGCAATTTATTCCAGTGTTTAACCATCCTGACAGTTAGGAACTTTTTCCTAATGTCCAACTTAAACCTCCCTTGCTGCTGTTTAAGCCCATTGCTTCTTGTCCTAGCATCAGAGCCCTACCCTTTTAGATACTTGAAAATCACTATCATGGGCACTCTCAGTCTTCTCCCTTCCAAACTAAACATTACTGCACAAGGTGAGTAACTCTTTCTTCTCCTTCAAGTGGTCCCCATGGGTGCTTCACTCTGGATGACTACAGAGCAAGTGTCAGCTCACAGAGGTGGGTTTGAAGCTGAGTGGTAGTTATTGTGGACAACACAGCATGTCCCTCTGCCATGGAAGATGCTATAGAAGAGGAAAGTGCACAGTGTTGTGCAAGTGTGGTCGGATGACCAGGTGGCAGCGTTGCAAATGTCCTGGAGTGAAATGTTATGCAAGAAGGCGGTTGTGGCAGCTACTGCACTGGTGGAATGAGCCATGATGTTTCCAGGTAAGTTCTTGTCATGCAAAGTATAACACGTTTGAATGCAGGAGGTAATCCATTTCAAAATTCTCTGAGATGAGACTGCTTGTCCTCTAGATCTTTCAGCATAGGAGAAGAAGAGTCTAGGTAAGGCCCGCCAAGGCTTTGTGTGGTCAACGTAAAATGCCAGAGCTCGTCGGACATCAAGAGTGTGCCATGCAGCCTGTACTGGGTCGACGTGAGGTTTAGGAAAGAAGGCAGGTAAGTGTATGGGTTCATTCACGTGAAAGGAGAGTACTTTGGGAAGGAACTTTGGGTGGAGTCAGAGTATCACTGTCCTTTGTAAATACGGTGTATGGAGCATCGGCCATCAAGGCTGCAAGCTCACTCACCCTCCTACTAGAGGTAATAGCGAAGAGGAAGGCTACCTTCATAGATAAATGAGACCAAAAGCAGGTGGCTAGAAGTTGAAATGGTGGTTTTGTCAAGCTTTTCAGGACATGGTTCAGGTCCCAGACAGGGACCGGTGGGCGGACAGAAGGAAACATATTCTTTAGGCCCTTAAAGAAGCGTTTGGCAAACAGGTTAGCGAGGAAAGAAACGCAATCCATAGGATGGTGAAAAGCCACTATGGAGGCAGCGTGGACCCTGATACTGCTGAGTGCTAAGCCCTATCGTTTTAGAGATAGTAAGTAGTCCAATAAAGTAGGTAAAGGAGCGAGTTCTGTATGGGGTGCATATGTTCGGCCATACCAGTGGGAGAATCAATTCCATTTGTACAAGTAAGTTCTTTCTGGTGGAATGTCTTCTACTGTTAATCAGTACATCTTTCACCTGCTCCGAGCAGGTAATCTCGGCATCCTGGAGCCATGAAGGAGCCAGGCGTGGAGGTGGAGCTTGAGAACATCTGGATGGAGAGTCTGACCGTGGTTCTGCAAGAGAAGGTCATGGAGAAGAGGGAAGGGATGAGGGTCCCTCACCGCCATCTTGAGGAGGTAAGGATACCATGTCTGTCTGGGCTACGCAGGTGCCACTAGTATGACCTGCGCCTGGTCCGTCCTGATCTTGTTGAGGACTCTGTGTAGGAGCGGGAAGGGGGTGGTCTGTGGGGAGGGGGGGGGGAGGGGAAGGGGGGAAACGCGTAAAGGAGAGGGGTATCTCATGTGATCCATAAAGGCATCCCAGAGGGAATGTTTCCCCAGGGCTCCTCTGGAACAGTAAAGGTGGCATTTTCTGTTGTTTTTCATGGTGAAGAGATCTATGTCTGATTGGCCCCAGCAAAGGAAGAGTGGAGTGAGGGCCCATTTGTCGAGCTCCCATTCATTTTGGTCCTGGAATGTATGACTTAGGGAGTCTGCTGTGATGTTGAGTACACCCAGAAGGTAAACGGACAAAGGGGTGACCCTGTGTGTCAGGCACCAGTTCCAAATCTTGATAGCTTCTGAACAGAGGGAAAGGGATCGAGCTCCGCCTTGTCCGTTGATATAGTACATGCAGGTGGTATTGTCCGTCATGATGGTAATGGGCTTGTGTGCTATGTACTGACTAAAATGTTGGCATGCATATCTGACCGCCCGTAACTCGAGTAGGTTCCCTAAGTGGGCCCCCCCATGCCATGAGTGAGGCATCTGTTATAACTGTGAGAGTAGAAGGAGGATACTGGAAAGGTACACCTTGTAACATGGTTTGAGGAATTGTCCACCAAAGCAGGGAGTAGATGATCCGTGGTAGAATGACCAGGAGTTTGGAAAGTTGGTCTTGGAAGGTTTGTAAACTGTCGTGAACCAAGACTGAAGGGGTCTCATCTGGAGTCTGGCCAATTTGACGATGTAGGTCATGGATGCCACGTTCCTGAGGATCTTGAGGCAGTCGCAGACCGTGACAGTCAGAACCGATTTTGCTGTGTGTATGAGGTCGCGTATGGTAACGAACCTGTGCTCGGGAAGTGTAGCTCTCACTGTGACTGTGTCAACGAGGGCGCCTATGAACTCTAGCCTCTGCACTGGGAGTAGGGTGGATTTTGTGTAATTTATGTGAAACCCAAGGCTGAGTAACAGGGCTATTGTGGTATCTGAAATGGCCTTGGTCTCGTCAAAGGACGCGCCTTTTATGAGGCAATCATCTAAATATGGGAATATGATCGCTTGACACTGAAGTGAGGGCATTATGACTGCCAGGGTTTTGGAAAACACCCAGGGGGCAATAGAGAGGCCAAACGGGAGCACGAGGAATTGATAGTGCTGGGTGCCTACTGTAAACCATAGAAAATGTCTGTGAGCAGGATGAACCGTAATATGAAAGTAGGAACCCTAGAGGTCGAGAGCCGAAAGCCAATCTCCTTGATCGAGTGTGGGAATAATTGTTGCTAGAGTGACCATCTTGAAACGATGGTATTCAAGGTATTTGTTGAGGGATCTGAGATGGGTCGCCACCCTCCCGTCTTCTTCTGGGTAACGAAGTAAGTTGAGTAGAAGACCTGGCCCTGGAATTGTGGTGGTACTTGTTCTATTGCACCCAGTTGAAGAAGATGCAAAACTTCTTGTTGGAGAACGTTTCATGAGAGGGGTCCCTGAAGAGGGACGGGGTAGGAGAGTGCGTAGGAGGGAGGGAGGTAAAGGGGATAGTGTAACCGAATTGAATCAGTTCCAGAACCCATTCGTTGGAAGTGATGAGAGACCACTGGTGGAAAAAGGCCTGGATGGGGTGCTGGAATTGAAGAATATTGGATGGCAGTGGTAGTGGATTGTCTTCCTGGCTCTCGACCTGACCTCCAAACCTGCTGTTTGCTCGGTGGTGGATTAGTCGTAAGGTGTTGCTATTGTTGTTGTTGTGGTCTATGCCATTGAGTTCTTTGTTTCGGGCAGAAATCGTATTTGGGCTGTTGTCTGAAAGGCTCTTTCGGGCATTGGTAAGGCTGGTACCTAGTTCTTTTGAAAGGAGGAGTGTACATTCCCAGGGTCCTGAGAACAGTATGGGAGTCTTTCATGGAATGTAACACTTCGTCAGTCTTAGCTGCGAAAAGGTTGGTTCAGTCAAAAGGTTAAGGTTGGTTCGTACTTTTCATCCTTCTGGTGTAGGTCCCTAGGTACCCCAGATGCCTATAACCAGGAAATTCTGCGAAGGACAATTGTCAAAGCCATAATACGAGCTGCCGTGTCTGCTATGTCCATAGCGGACTGTAGGGCTGTGCGGAAGACAGTGTGGCCCTCCTGCATGAAATTTAGCAAGGTAGGCCTCGTGTTCCGGAAGGTGTTGGAGCAGGTCTTGGAGCTTGGAGTAATTGGCGAGGTCATAATCCGCAAGCATGGCAGTGTAGTTCGCAGCCCTGAGGAGTAATGTGGCTGATGAGTAG